AGTCATAGACGAGGTAATGAGTTAAGGTGGCGCAATGGTGGGCGAAGAAAGGTAGTGTTGACCAATAGCGAGGAAACATCTATGGGGAATTGATTGGTGTACGGTTTGACGTTTAGGACGCGGTGAAAGTAGACGATCGATCGTCAGTCGCGATCGATGTGCGGGTCGGTTACCCTATTAACTACGCTGTAACCATGCTACAGTATGCTTTTTGGCCAAATTTTCTGATTTAATTGATCATTGGTCGCAGGAGATATCTCAATTCTGATGTGTGATCGTTACAACGCCGCGGTCGCCACGTTTCGCCAATCGATCTGCCCACTCGATTGTGGGGCTCAATATATGCAGACGATCGTGCGATATTTGCACTTTCATCGCGTCCTTACGACGGTAGACTCGCATACGGTATGCAGGGTAGTAACTGAGGTTTACGCAACATGCAGGCAACGGTGCAGTAGGTTGCTAGGGTTTGACGTTAAACCTTACGCGGGCGCAGGGTTGTAACTGTGTGGCAGAATGTGAACGACCGCGTAGGGTTTGACGTTACACCCTACGAAGGTAGACTCGCCACGCGGGCGAAGGGTTGTAACTGAGGTTTACACAACATGCAGGCAACAGCGCTGCAGATTGCTAGCAACGCCCCAGAAGTAAAGTAGTCACTAGCAGGCTACCGAGGTTTTGCAAAATTGTGTACGGTGAGTATCCGACATGTGGCTACAATGTTGTTGGAGTGTTGCAAAAGTGCAACTTTTATGCAACTTTCGAGTGACTGCTATTTCAGCAACTCTCGTCCTTGGCTTGAATGTTGCGGGGGGCAGGTATAAAAAAAGTTACCTTTTTCAACTTTTCTGCAACTTGGCAGCAAGTCCTTTTTCGCTATGTGGCTGGCAGGGCAGCAGGGCAGCGAGCAGGGAGGGGCGCTGCAAGGCGGCAAGGCGCGACAGCGGGCCACAGCTCACAGCAGGGCAGGGCATCGGCGCTCACGAAGCAGCGTGCGGCGACGTGCAGGGCAGAGGCGCGCACTACGCATAAGGCAGCGGTGGCGTGCAACAGGCAGCGAATAGGGTGCGCGGGGCAGCGTATGGGGCGCGCACAGAGCAGTAACCCGTGCGGGGTAGGGACCTACTCGCTCAATGGGGGCTCGTTTTGTGCAGAAAAAACGACACGCACTAATGGCGCGCTATGGGCAACGAATAGGCACGCACTAGGGGCGCGCTACGGGCATCGAAAGGGGCAGGTTCTTAAAAGAAAACGGTCCTAATAGACCTCAAATCAACGGGAGTTGTGTGTTGGCCCCGTCCTCGCTTGGGCAGAGCCGACTTCGTGGTCGGGTGTACGAGAAGTGCAGCTAACTGTCAGCAGTGGGCGACGCCGACTTGGGCGAGCTGGTCGACGGGTTTGGTCGACCTGCACGGGGCCACTGCAATGCCGCCGACTTGAGAAGTCGGGGGGCGACTTCAACTGGTGGTCGATTTGGAAGTCGGCGCCGACTTCAGGAGGTTGCCGACTTCAGGAGGTCGCCGAATTCAGGGGACGCTGACTTGGGAAGTCGACTTGGAAGTCGGCGCCGACTTGGGGGCGCCGACTTGGGGAGTTGCCGACTTTGTGAAGTCAGCCAGAGGACGTCGACCTGGGTGGTCGACGGGCGCGTACAGCAGCTGGTCGACACTGGCCATGCAAGTCGACGCCGACTTGGTGGTTGCCCGGTCGACCAGGTTACCCGGGCGACGGAGATCTGCGGATGTGCACGATCGTCGTCCAAGTGGTTCTGGCGAAGCTGACCTCGGTGGTGGTATCCCGAGGTCGACGTGGCTGATCAGGTGCAGTTGATAGCACATGGACCACCTGGTGCTCTGCGCCGTGTAGGAAACACGGCACAGCACGCCAATCATCTGCGTGCACCTGCGAAGCGGGTGCGCTGCTGTCCTGCATGTGCAACGCTGTGCAGCCGCCTCGCTGCAGCGTTGGCACGCCGTCGACTTGCAGCGTTGGCAGGCCGCGACTTTGCACTGCTGGAGCGCGGTCGACCATGTCGTGCTGGAACGCGGTCGACCGTGCTGTGCTGGCAGTCGACCTGCTGCTTGCTAGCCTGATGTAGTCAACCTTGCCAATGTTGTTGCTATCATTCTGAATCATTGTTGTGAACTTTTGCTAGTGGAACTCTTGCCAAATTCCCCCGTAAACCAGGAAGTATTGAGAGCACAAGTGAACGACTAAGGAACGAACGCTACGATCACTCCTACCCCGTGCCTAGCCCGTAGTCTAGCTCCCATTATACGAGTTATGTCCGCACTACATGATCTATACCATGTTAGAATCTTAGAGGGATTCAGGTAATGAGGTCAACAAGGGGGATACAAGCAAAGTGTCGAGAAACTTTCTATACCCCCTAAGGCTAGCCCCTACATAGCCTGAATACATATACAGATATATATATGTTTTGACAGCGCTGTAAAAATACCTTGTGAAAACCGATTCGTCAACTTAACAGGAGCGGTCACGTATCTTAAACCAACGTGCTACCAACCCTGCCTAGTTGTTTGACACTGACTTTCGAGCCTCTTATGGCCGATGTTTTTCTGTAGTCTATGTGCAAAAGTAACCGAAAAGAATGAAACGGTATAAGTGTGTGAAGATGGATTTTTTCATGTGATATTTTTTAAGGTCTCAACATCTGTTGTCTGAAGTCAATACAAAAAACCTTAGGGCGCGTGTCTTCTGTCAAATTTGACAAAATTTATGTTTTGGGGGCGAATAATTTTTTTGAACTAAAGTCGAATAGAATCCGACTTTCCTTGTAGCGAAGTTCGAACATTGCGGAAATAACACTTCAAGGATGCAATCACATACGCAAGGTCGAACACAAAAATTCGAACCCCTATGTTACCCGGTACATGCTCGCCACATCAACAAACTGCTATTTTCTGTTTCGCAATGCAGTCTTCAATTTCGCATGGTCTTTGTACGTGCCGAAACACACACGCCCGCTTCAACGTGTACAAACACGTTCATCTATTCAACTCGAGTCGAGTTCACATTTGAAATTCGCACTTATGTGCGCCCAACATTTATATTCCTTCGCAAACGGGTTTCAGCGACATTAACAAAACGGGTAACCACCAGAAGTTCGAACATATTTTCGAACTTCAGAATAGATCACACGCGCCCTTAGTAACACACGTGATGCTCTCGTAATAAATAACGATAACACAACCACAGAATCGCCTAACTTCGAGTGTACGGTTAAAGAATCTTTTAGAGAGTAAGAGGTGAAGATTGACCCGAGGGTCATAGATTGACTAGAGAACACAACTGGTTCTTGTCTTTATGCAGAAACACTCCGTGATACGGCCAGCTCTGCTTGTTTGAGCCGACTCGACCACACCACCACACAAAAAAGGTGTTCCGCTCTGACTGTACCTTGACAAGTGTACACAAGCTCAAGTCAATTGATCTGCGGAAGCAGTCAGCTGTCCATCCAAACTCCGCGGTAGGCTGGAAAACTACTGTATACCCTGGGAAACTGGTGTGGTCAAGGAAGCTAGGGTTACTCTTGAACTCCCCCACCACCATCCCAGAAGCGTGGGAAAAGCGACGAGGGCAGGCTGACGCTGAGGAACGACGATGACATTCCCAAGAGAACCAATAATCACGGAGCGACACGCCGCCCCCTGGGCGCTTCCCATGTCCCCCCACGAGGGTGAAGGGAGCCAGAGGGTGAAGTGATCAGGCATACAGCAAGCTGCTCAACCATTCCGCAACCATCTAAAACCCGCATATATTCCTCCATTATTGGTGCTAACGCGACTCCCTCCCTCCACAGCTTGACTCCTCCGCCCACTTCAGTGCAGCGGCACCTCCCCGCACTCCATCCCGCCCCCTCTCCTCCCCCTTGGCCCCCCGCTTCCCTCCCTCCCCCGCCATCTGACCTGACAGTCACATGCAGGCCTGTCGCTTGCAGGGCGTTTGCCCTGCTGGACCTTGAATTCCAGGGCTGGGTCGCCCTTGGAAACTGAAATTGATGGGTTGGAAAAATTCTGGCCCTGATTCCTTACAGGGCTGATTTCGGGCTTATGCCTGGTGTCTTAAGGGTAGATTCTAGGCGAGCCCTGGAACAAATTCTTTTGAGCCCCCCACTCCTTCCCATCCCCCAACTCCTCCCTCTCCTCCCCCACACCCCCGCCCCCCCTCCCCCCCGTTTCTATCCAACCTGGCGAATTTGGAGTTGTGGTTGGGCCTCAAATTTAACTCAACCTACAACCCAGTACTTGCGCCAATCACAGCTTCACTCACTTCCATTCCCTTAGCATGAATCGGCATAGCAGCAGCAAAACACCCTCAGAGTGGCAAGATGATCACCCCACCCTCGTGCACAAGATCTTCAGTGCTGCCAGGGCTAGGGGGCCTGCTAAGCGTGCGTAGTGAAATGACGCTAACTAGTTTTTCTTTTCATGTTTGATTGTTGTAGTTTATCTCAAAGTGTCGCACCAAACCTGAGTCAAGGGAGAATATAAATTCCAGCCCTGAAGCCTAGAGGGCCGAGATTCGCCCCAGCCCTGCTAAATACAGGGTCGTACGTGTCGGGCCCCCTGATTTGTCCGGGGCCCCCAAAACGAAACGACAGCCCTGGTCACATGACAACAGCGCGCCTCGCCTCCCCCGCCGCCCTCCTCACCTCCCCCTTCCTCCTCCTCACCTCACCTCACACCCCCAAAACGACGTTCTCTCATTTCAAGGCTCAACTGGGTTCTCCACTCAACCCTGGACAATCCCAGGGGTTCGACGTTCGTTTGTTCCATCAATCGCAGCAACTCATATGAAGCTAGATGATGGCTATGTTGTTTCGGTGCCTTTGTGGTAGATTCCCCATGGACTAAGATTCGACGGTTTAGCTTTTAGCTTACTCGAGCAGGAGTAGCGCAAAGGGCTGTGACATTAGGACCAAGTAATTTAACTTATTTTGAGATTCTCGTCGAGATTCTCGACTTTCGAAGGCGAGTATGGAGGATTGGAGCAACAACGCATGGCTGCTGGAAGCCGACAACGGCGGATTCCACGTCGACGATTGCGTTTACGAAGAGGACGAAATCGGTTACGTCGTCGACGACGACGAGTCGCTTCCCTGGGAGCAGCATGTGCGTAGTAAGAGGCTTACGAGGTGCCTCTGAAGGCAGCACGTGCGTAAAGGCATCTCTTTGTACAACTCAGCAAGTTGCTGAGGCGTGTTTCAGATTCTACGCTCCAGGGAGGCTTTCAGCTAGGACATATGTTGAATGTCAGAATTCTTTAAGAATCTTGTCCGTCGCGTAGTAGCATGGCTTCAGTGGAAGTTCGAGATAGCTCCGGTTCCGCGTGTTTGTTCCGGTGACGTTTTTCATGTTGGCTTAACCTTCGTAGAGTGGTCAACGGATCCGACACCATCATGCTTCTGATTAGACCGCGCTCTTATGTCGCTCGCATTCTTCTGCTCTCCTCTCCTTCCCGAGGGAACGTCGACGTGTCCAGCCCGTGCGAGCGACTCGGCTTGGATATCCTGTGATAGAAGTTGATTTTTAAGACGTCTCAAGAATCAACTTCTATCACGTGACTCGGTGCGGAAATCCTGCGACCCATCTCCTACCCGTTTCGCGCCAGCTGTTGCACTGGCCCGTCTCCTGCCACTTCGTTTCCCCTGATTCCCTTCCTACCCACTCCCTCCATTTCTTCCGTTCTCGTCCCATCCCAATCCCCCTCGCTGGTTCAGGCCGAGCGAGTTCAGACGGCAACGGGCGTGGTGCAGGTGACGCGATCGTGCAAACCAACCTACCTCTACTCTATGGTTTCCATATCCGTTTCTCCCTCTTCGCCGCTCTTTTTTCCGCAACTCCTGCTGTCAGATCGAGCGAGTTCAGACGGCAACGGGCGTGGTGCAGGTGACGGTGTGCGGCGATCGCGGCAACCCGCCTCTCATCACCTATCACGACGTCGGGCTCAATCGTGAGTCTCTGATAACTTATCACGAGGCAAACGTGAGCGCCTCCCTCCCTTCTTGCTATCCCCCATCGCGCCATCCCACCCTCCGCGCGTCAGATTCCGCGTGTTTCCAAGGCTTCCCCGATACCCCCCCCATCTCACTCTCCCTTCCCCGCTCTCCCCCATCCCACCATCCGCTTGTCGAATTCCACATGCTTTCAAGCATGCTCTGCGCGGACATCTCCGCGCTGCTTGGTACCCCTCCATCTCACTCTCCCCTCCGCGCTCTCCGCCATCCCTCCCTCCGCGCGTCAGACTCCACGTGCTTCCAAAACCTCATGCTCTGCGCGGACACCTCCGCGCTGCTTTTACGAAACTTCTGCGTATTCCACGTCGACGCGCCGGGCCACGAGGTAAGCGCGCCCCTCCTGGGGTGTCTTCAAGGGAGCCGTTAGTTTTCCGCAGAGGTTGTTTTTAGGACGAGGGAAACGATTTCTGACACGTCCCGAAAATCGTTCTGCAGAGCTGTGGTCGTGCTCCCATCCGCTGTTCCCCTCCCTCCCAGTCCGCCGCGCGGAGGAGGACGCGGAAGGGATCCCCTCGTCGCACCCGCTGCTACGCGCGGCCAAATCTTGACGCGCCTCACAGTGTATCTGGATATTTTATTGCCCCCCCGCCTTCCCCCCCTCCGCCTCCCCCATTCCCGTGCGCCGCGCGCAGGAGGACGCGGAGGAGATCTCCTCGTCGCTCCCGCTGCTCTCCGCGGACGATCTGGCGGAGCAGGTGGCGGAGGTGGCGCGGCACTTCGCGCTCGCTGACGTCACGCTGATGGGCGTCACCGCGGGCGCATACGTCCTCACGCTCTTCGCTGTACGCCCTCGCTTGATTCCCGCCTGCCCTCCTGCTTCTCTGCCTGCCTGCCTGCCTCCCTCCCCCTCGTCCACCCCTTTTCTCTTAGTCCCAATCCTGCCGCTGCATGCTCAGCTATCACACCCACATCTGGTGCAAGGCAACATTCTCGTGTCATGTGTCCCCCTTCCCCCACCCACCTTTTCTCTCCTTCCCCCTTTCCCCCCTTCCACTTTTCCCCCCATACCCCTGCCACCGCGCCCGCAGCTATCCCACCGCCATCTGGTGCGAGGGCTCATTCTCGTGTCCCCGCTGCTCTCGCCGCCCTCCTGGGCCGAGTGGGCGCACAACAAGGTGAGCCGTGAAGCATGCAGCATGCAGTGCGCCGTACAAGAAGCTGCACAGTGCGGCGCACACTATGGCGTACAATGAAGCACGCTATAAAGTGTACGATTTCCGTTTTTGGTGCAGAGCAGTGTGATTGCAGGCCCCTTTCTCCCACGTTCAGCCTTAAATCTCCCCGTTTTCCCACTTTCCCACCGCCCCCGCCAACCCTCTTCGTCTCCCCGCCTTTCATTTCAACTCCCGTGGTGCAGGTGACCATGAGCGTGCTGTCCTACTACGGCATGACGTCATACATCAAGGATTCCCTCTTTGACCGATACTTCTGCCCTGTACGCGCCTCTCGCCTCTCGCCTCTCGCCTCTCGCCTCTCGCCTCCTGCCTGTCACTCGATCCTACGCGTGTCCGCTCTGCCTTCATGCCTGCTTCCTCTGCACTCCCCACCCCTATATCCCCCTTCTCCTGCTTCACATGCTGCCGCCCAAGGTCCTTGCCCCTCATTTATTGTGCTCATCCCCCTCATCACATTTTCTCCCCTCCTCCTCCTCCTCCTCCTCCTCCTCCTCCTCCTCCTCCTCCTCCTCCTCCTCCTCCTCCTCCTCCTCCTCCTCCTCCTCCTCCTCCTCCTCCTCCTCCTCCTCATCCTCCTCCTCCTCCTCCTCCTCCCCCTCCTCCTCCTCCTCCTCCTCCTCCTCCTCTCCCCCTCGTCCCAACCCTCCCCTCCGCGCCCCTTTATCTCGCCTCCGTGTGTCGTGCAGGCCACGGCAGGCTTCCACGGGCCAGCATCAGATGCGCTCATGTCCTTCCGCAGGGTGAGTGTGAAAGCAATGTAGCATCTGTGGGAGGAGAATCCAATCGGAGCAAGTTTGATCAAGAGTGGCAAGTGCAGAGAGCTGGGCGTCAAGTCAAGTCACTTGCGCCTGCTATGGGTTGGGGCCACCATCAGTGCATGTGGATGTGGAAAGGCTTTTGATCTCACATGTTCTGGGCTGCGCATGGGCGTGCTGTCCCCATGGTCTCACTAGATTTTCTTTCTCCCTTCCGTTTTTTCTTTCCCCGTGGGCTGCGCATGCTGTCCCCGTTTATATTCTGTCTGTTTCTCTCTCTCAATCAGGAGCTGGACTATCACGAGCCACAGAATCTCATGCGCTATTTCTACGCCATTCAGAGGTAAGCCTATCACGAGCAGCTGTCTCTACCGCTATGCGCGTGTCCTGTAACTGGGTTTCACATGCGCTTCCATTTTCCCGTTTCCCCCTTTGTCCATCTCTCCTCCCCCGGCCTCCCCCTTCTTACCGTGCACTCCTCTCACTCTTGTCCACATGCGCATGTCTTGGCATTCCAAAGTGCGCATACCCCTTCGTCCTCTCTCGCCCACCACCAGCTCTCTCTCTCCTCTCTCACTCTCCACTCCCTGTTCCTTGTCGAATCTCCCTCATTCCCATCAGGCGAAGGAACCTGCTGCCTGGGCTGGCAGCGCTGCAGGTACCAGTGTTGCTGGCCGTGGGTGACTCGTCCCCTTTCAACCCCCTCGCTCGCACCGCCTTCCACCACCTCCACGCCAAGCCCGCTGCTTTTTACAAAAATCAGCTGCTTGCTTCTGCCGCCTCTGTTTGCTCCTCCTCAACTGCATCTCCATCTCCCTCTCCCTCCTCTCGCTCTTCCTCGCCGTCTCACTCTCACTCTGACTTTGTATCTGAGGAGGAGGAAAGGTGGTTGGAAGATGGGAACAAGGAGGGTGGAAGGGACGGGAGGTGCAGAAGGAGCAATGGTGGGTCAACCGCAGTGGCTCAGTGCGACAGGGTGGGAGGAGGGAGGATGTGGGAGGGGGAACAACGGCCAGTGCAGATGGGGAGTGAAGGTGCCGTTCTGTTGGCTGTGGACGGGGAGGGGGATGGAGGCAGGCAGGAGAGGCGGGCAGGGATAGAGGAGCGGGAATGGGAATGGGAATGGGAGCACGGGAGTGCGAGTGACCAAGGGAGGGAGAGCGAGGAGGAGAGCAGAAGGTGTGCAGGGGAAGGAGCCAGCAGTAACAGCAGGTGCGAGAGTGCATGGGGCAACAGCAACAGCAGCAGCAGGTGCGAGAGTGCCTGGGGCAACAGCAACAGCAGCAGCAGGTGCGAGAATGAAGAGGGTAGTAGCAGCAGCACATGCGGGAGTGAAGAGGGTAGCAGCAGCAGCAGCAGCAGCAGGAGGAGCAGCAGTGGTGTGGGTGGAGGTGGAGGCGTGTGGGTCGCTGGTGACAGAGGAGCGACCCCACACGCTCCTCCCTGCTCTCTGCCTCTTCATCTCACAGCTCCGCCCAGCAGCCAGCCAGCAATGGAATTGTTGCCAGTGTGCAGGGGAGGAAGGAGGGGAAAGGAGTGGCTTCGGGAGGGAATGGGCGGTGGGGCGTGTTGAGGAAGGGTCGAGTTCAGGATGGGTGGGTGGGTCGGCAGAGGGAAGGGTGCATGTAAGAGGGGAAGAGCAGGATCAGCAGCAATGGCATCAACTCGCGGATGCACACCAGCAAGAGCAGCGGCAGCAGCAGCAGCAGCGGCAGCAGCAAGGGAAGCAGCAATTTGTTGCGCAGCCATTGTCAACATCAAGTCACCGCAGCTATCGCAATTCAGCCTTCTGCATCCCGCTCTTCCGACCCACCTCGTCTCAGCAACAGCAGCACCAGCAGCAGCAGCAGCAGCAGCAGTCCCTCTCCTGCACACTCCCGTCCCCTACTCTCTCACAGCCCCTCAAGTCGCCATCCGCCTCAGGGATGGGTTCCGACGTCCCCTCTCCCTCCTCCATTCCGCCTCTCATCTCCCCGTCCTCCTCCTCTCCCTCCACCTGCACCCCCTCTGTCACCACTCCCTCCCTCTGCACGCCCTTCTGGACCCCTGCTTGCACCCCAGCAGCCTTGTCGCCTGCCTTCACACCTGCTGCTGTGTCACCTGTGTGCATTCCCACACCTGCTCTCAGCCACCCACGCGCGGCCAACCACAGCAGCAGCAGCAGAAGCATATCGGCAGCAGCTGGGGCAGTGGTGCCACAGCCATTGGCAACAGCTGCAGTAGCGAGGGGATTTGGGCCGCAGGTGTGTGCGAGGGAATGTGGGGGGCACATTCCGGTGTGGCAGCATAGCGAGGATGTATTGGTGAGGCAGCAGCAGCAGGAACAGCAGCGAGAGAGGGAGTGGGAGAAGGAGCAGATGTTTCTGGAGGTGGAGAGGAGGAAGCTACAGCCAGTGCGTACGAGTGGCGAGACGAGGAGGTGGGAGGAGGAGGCACAGGGAACAGGGTTTGAACAAGTATGTGGGTCGCCCACAAGCTGATTGGAATCAGTCGGTGGGGCAAGCTGGTTTCTGAGAATTCTCAAAGACGAGGAGGTGGAAGGAGGCGGCGACACAGTGGGCAGGGTTTGAACAAGTGTGTGGGTTGCCCACAAGCTGATTGCGTTGCAATGCAACTGCGCAGGTGGCCGACTTGGTGTACAGGGTGGAGTGCGATTCTTTCCAATAAAAAGGAATAAGATGGGGCACACACACATGAGTGCTTTCAGGGGAAAGCCTGCTGTGGATGATCTACAAGCAGTGTCGCAGGCTAGAGCGCCCAGTCAGGTGCATCAGTGCTCTCATCGGCACGAGACGAGACGAGAGCTCTCGGGCGCACAAGCGGCCAAGAGACTATCGTCTGTTGCGCTGGCCAATAAGATGTATGTACCATTCAGCCGAATGCTGCATCTGCGCCTGATGCGCTCTGGACAGGAGATTGTTATCTTTCCCAAACGCACGGTACGCCACATTGCGTATTTATGTAACAGTAGATACAAGGAATAAAGTGTAGTGCTTATCATGGTACTCATTGTTTTGATGTGTCTCTATGGTACCTACCTGCATGCTAAGAATTATGGGCAAAACCGAAGCTTACTCACAGAAAAAAAAAAAAAATTCTTATTGCAGGAGTGCCCACAAACCACATACCTTATCGCACGAGCAACACTATAATACAGATATTGTAGGGGGGGAATGAAATAATATTTGAGATCAAGCCATGAATGCAAGTCACCTTTTCTCTGGTGTCCTCCCATTTGACAATCAAACCACCATTCAGCTGATTCACAGGGACACCCAGAAGGGAAAACACCAAACCACCATGTCAACCAACCGTTGTCAACCAACCGTACAACTCCCAATTCCCAATTCCAGTATACGAATTAGTATACCGAACCTTGCCACACCCAACCTCACCCAACCAAACCCGACCATGTTATGGCTCAGTACGGCTGCACCCCAATAACCGACGAAACAACGTGACCATCAGCGTCGCTCCACGTCATCCTTCCGAATGAGTAGTCCGTCGATTTGGTGACAGGGGTGATCGTGATGGTAATCGATTGCGTGCCCTTGTTGTTCAGCGTGAAGGCGGTGGGTCGCACCACCACTTTCACATTGGGTGGCGGCTCAAGGGTGAGAGTGTACTTGCTACGCTTCCCGCTCACGTTCACCACGCGCCGAACTACAGTGACGGTTTTCTTTAGCTGCGAAACGACGATGTTCGGAAGGTTGAGCTGGTACGCAGGGATTGGCGGTGGTGCCTGAATTTTGACCGCCGACGCGGATTTGGCAGACTTGGGGGTTGGCTTTGGTGCGGGTTTTGTGGACAAGATGCTCAGGCTTTGGGCGCGCGCCTCCTTGCTGTTGACCCCATATAAGAATGCAATGTACTCGTTATAAGTGATGTCGAAAATCAGCCCTGGGTCGATAGCTGCCGACGGGTTGATCTGCCCGGAACCAAAATTAAACGGCGTTGCCGTACTCCCGTCCTGGTTCCGAATCGGGCTCCCGAAATTATTCTGTTGCGAAGCCGACGTCTGGATTGCAGATTTGATTGCCGCGGGGCTGAGAGTCGGGTTCTTCTGCATGACCAGCGCCGCAACGCCAGCGACAATCGGAGTAGCCATGGAGGTTCCGGTGAGAATGCCAAACGACACCTCGCCTTGGGGCGACGGCGCGGCGGCGAAGAGCATGACGCCAGGAGCGACGATGTCGGGCTTGAGAATGTCGTTGGTGAAGTTGGAGAGGCCAGCGGGCTGCTGCGGGTTGACGAGGGGGCCCGACGAGGAGATGGCTGCCACCTTGGGGGCCTCGTCGCTGGTGTCCCAGAAGAGCGGAGAGAGCGTGCCGATGGTTCTGCATTATATGGGAGAGTGACAGGCATTGGGGGGAGGTGGGGTGTGGGGGGAGGGGGGGAAGAGAGAAGGGTTAGACGAGGGGACTTGTGCTAGTAGAACTCCATGCTACAGTAAGGCACGAGTGTTGAAAGCAGATAGCTTTTCAAAGGTGTATGTTCCACGCGCACTGCGCAAGCAGCATGGCGCCATGAAAGTGAACCAAGTATCGCACCCCGTGTGCACTCACGCAGTGGGTGCATTCGCCTTGAGGAGCTGGCGGATGCTGAATGCGTCAGGATCCCCAGAGGGTGACAATGGTGCAAGCAGCATGACACACTGAAAGTAAACCCAGCAAGCATTGCACCCCATGTGCACTCACGTGGCGGGCGCATTGGACTTGATGAGCTGGCGGATGCTGAATGCGTCCGTGTAAGTCATGGATATGGCAGGGAAGTCAAAGTTGATCGTCTCAGGAGTCGCAGAGGGGGACGACGGCGCGAGCAGCATGGCCGCTCCGCCTGAAGCCGCCACCACGGACGCCTTGTCGTCTGCTGTGTTGCCTCCGGACACACAGAGTACCATCTTGCCTTGCACCAGCCACCCTGCCAGCGATCCTGAGATGCATTGCTCCGCCTGGTGGGGTGGGCGGAGAGGGGTGGTGGGAGGGCATAGGCATGTGGAAAGAAAGAGAGAGTGGGGGGGATGGACGGGGAAGGGGGAGGTTGTGCAGAAGGCAAGGGAGTCGGGTGAGGGGGTGCCTTTGAACCGATCAACCATTTCATGGGTGGAAAAGGCAAAACTGGATGCCACACGTGATTCTACGCAGAAGGAGAAGGAGAAGTCAATGGAAAAGGAGGAAAGGCCAGGCAGAGAATTGTGGAACTCACTTCGCTGTTGGCCGCCCCGGGCCTCTTGACATCCACGCCCAGCACGATCTCCTTGTTCTTTGTGCTGTCGTCGCCGCCCCGCCACGTCCCGCCGTCCACATAGAGGCTCTTTCCCGCAAAGGTGAGGCGCGC